CGGACACCAACATCCTGTAAACCAGTTAGAGATATCCCAGCTGTAAACATGTAAGGGAGATAACTTACACCAACACCCTGTAAACCAGTAAGAAAGATCCCAGCTGTAAACCAGTTAGAGAGATCCCAGCTGTAAACATGTAAGGGAGATAACTTACGCTAACAACCTGTAAACCAGTTAGAGAGATCCCAGCTGTAAACATGTAAGGGAGATAACAGACACCAACATCCTGTAAACTAGTTAGAGATATTCCAGCTGTAAACCTGTGAGGGAGATAATGGACACCAACATCCTGTAAACCAGTTAAAAAGATCCCAGCTGTAAACATGTAAGGGAGATAACTTACACTAACATCCTGTAAACCAGTTAGAGAGTAAACATGTAAGGGAGATAACGGACACCAACAACCTGTAAACCAGTTAAAAATATCCCAGCTGTAAACATGTTAGGGAGATAACGGACACCAACATCCTGTAAACCAGTTAGAGAGATCCCAGCTGTAAACATGTAAGGGAGATAATGGACACCAACAACCTGTAAACCAGTTAAAGAGATCCCAGCTGTAAACATGTAAGGGAGATAATGGACACCAACAACCTGTAAACCAGTTAAAGAGATCCCAGCTGTAAACATGTAAGGGAGATAACTTACACTAACATCCTGTAAACCAGTTAGAGAGTAAACATGTAAGGGAGATAACGGACACCAACATCCTGTAAACCAGTTAGAGAGATCCCAGCTGTAAACATGTAAGGGAGATAATGGACACCAACAACCTGTAAACCAGTTAAAGAGATCCCAGCTGTAAACATGTAAAAGAGATAACTTACACCAACAACCTGTAAACCAGTTAGAGAGTAAACCTGTAAGGGAGATAACGGACACCAACATCCTGTAAACCAGTTAGAAAGATCCCAGCTGTAAACATGTAAGGGAGATAACTTACACTAACAACCTGTAAACCAGTTAGAGAGTAAACATGTAAGGGAGATTAGGGACACCAACATAGAGATCCCAGCTGTAAATGAGTAAGGGAGATAACTTACACTAACAACCTGTAAACCAGTTAGAGAGTAAGGGAGATAACTGGCACCGACAACCTGTTAGTACATAAATGATGTAAGCATGTTTTTCATCTTTGTGCCTTTAATACATATAAAGGTTATAAATAGGAGGTCCTAAGAAACACAACTAAAATATCATCCCGCATTGTGAAATTTGGTGATTTTGTTAAATTTCAGGTCAAATGATATAATTAGTACGTAACCCGACAGTCCTCAAATTTTTAAAAAAAGCGCAAAGCTGTGGCAGTGTGAGATGAATGGTGTAGACCCTTTTGGCCTCTTGTCCTATATAATAGCTGCAGTATCTGGTCAGAAATGACTGGGGAGGTTGTATATCACGGTTGTAGCTGTTTGAGGATTATACTGCGACTGAAGTCAGTGATATCAATTTAAGTTTAGGCCGTTGTAATGATAGAAATTGCTTTAGATTGGGCTCAAATTAACAACTGCTAATTGAGATACTCTATGAATTTTAGAGCCAGGTGAACGATTTCCAAGAAATCATTTTATTTTATTTTTGATACAAAAAAATGGGTAATCATAATGAGAGTTTTGATTGGTTTTGTAACAGATAACTCCCTCAGTGGTTTGTTCAAAATCATTTAATTGCAACTTTTGCATTTAATGCAGGAGATGTTGAATCTTGTGGAATTAGTTACTATTACATCCCTTTAAAGAAGCACATATTCCACCTATAAGAAAATCATGCAACACATCTGTTAACTTTGTGTAGGCCTGGAAGTAATTGATTTGTCTATTATATAAATCGCTGATCGTAACAATTTGTTTATTACATGACGAACTGGTAGTAACAAATTTGTTTATTGCATAAAAATTGGGATAGTAACAGATTTGTTTATTATCTATATAGCTGATAGTAACAGATTTGTTTATTATCTATATAGCTGATAGTGACAGATTTGTTTATTATCTATAAAGCTGATAGTAACAGATTTGTTTATTATCTAGATCTATATAGCTGATAGTAACAGATTTGTTTCTTATCTATATAGCTGATAGTAACAGATTTGTTTATTATCTATAAAGCTGATAGTGACAGATTTGTTTATTATCTATATAGCTGATAGTGACAGATTTGTTTATTATATATATAGCTGATAGTTACAGATTTGTTTATTATATATATAGCTGATAGTTATAGATTTGTTTATTATATATATAGCTGATAGTTATAGATTTGTTTATTATATATATAGCTGATAGTTATAGATTTGTTTATTATATATATAGCTGATAGTTATAGATTTGTTTATTATATATATAGCTGATAGTTATAGATTTGTTTATTATATATATAGCTGATAGTTACAGATTTGTTTATAATCTATATAGCTGATAGTGACAGATTTGTTTATTATATATAAAGCTGATAGTGACAGATTTGTTTATTACCTATATAGCTGATAGTAACAGATTTGTTTATTATCTATATAGCTGATAGTGACAGATTTGTTTATTATCTATATAGCTGATAGTAACAGATTTGTTTATTATCTATAAAGCTGATAGTAACAGATTTGTTTATTATATATATAGCTGATAGTGACAGATTTGTTTATTATCTATAAAGCTTATAGTGACAGATTTGTTTATTATCTATAAAGCTTATAGTGACAGATTTGTTTATTATCTATAAAGCTGATAGTAACAGATTTGTTTATTATATATATAGCTGATAGTAACAGATTTGTTTATTATCTATAAAGCTGATAGTAACAGATTTGTTTATTATATATATAGCTGATAGTTACAGATTTGTTTATAATCTATATAGCTAATAGTGACAGATTTGTTTATTTTATATAAAGCTGATAGTGACAGATTTGTTTATTATATATATAGCTGATAGTGACAGATTTGTTTATTATATATATAGCTGATAGTTACGGATTTGTTTATTATCTACATAGCTGATAGTGACAGCTTTGTTTATTATCTATAAAGCTGATAGTGACAGATTTGGTTATTATATATATAGCTGATAGTTACAGATTTGTTTATTATATATATAGCTGATAGTTACAGATTTGTTTATTATCTACATAGCTGATAGTGACAGATTTGTTTATTATCTATAAAGCTGATAGTGACAGATTTGTTTATTATATATATAGCTGATAGTAACAGATTTGTTTATTATCTATATAGCTGATAGTAACAGATTTGTTTATTATATATATAGCTGATAGTGACAGATTTGTTTATTATCTATAAAGCTGATAGTAACAGATTTGTTTATTATATATATAGCTGATAGTAACAGATTTGTTTATTATCTATATAGCTGATAGTAACAGATTTGTTTATTATATATATAGCTGATAGTGACAGATTTGTTTATTATCTATAAAGCTGATAGTAACAGATTTGTTTATTATATATATAGCTGATAGTAACAGATTTGTTTATTATATATATAGCTGATAGTGACGGATTTGTTTTTCATCTACACCAAAGTGCAAGTGAGCTTATGTCATGGCTCGGCATCTGTCGCCCGTCGTCCGTTGTCGTCCCTCAACTTTTTACTTAAACGACTGAAGAACGGACAGGCCAAGAGTCATGATATCTGGCTAAAAGCTTCCTTGGAAAGAGCTCGACAAAGTTTGAGAACAAAAATGACCTTGACCTTCTTTCAAGGTCACAGGGGTCAAATATGTCAAACACTTCAAAAAACTTCTTTTGAAGACCTGAATTGTATAAAATCATAATAATCGGCTGGTGGCTTCCTGGGATAGAGCCAAACAAAGTTTGAGAATGAAATTGACCTTGACCTACTTTCAAGGTCACAGGGGTCAAATATATCAAACGCTTCAAACGATTTCTTCTTAAGAACTGATGGGTATAGAATTCTCATATTTGACTCGTAGCTTCTTGGGGTGGAGCCTGACTTAGTTTGCGAGTGAAAATTACCTTGACATACTATCAATGTCACAGGGGTCAATATGTCAAAAACAACAAACGACACATGAATAATCGAAAACCGACAAAGTTTGCAATTAAATAAATGTAGTACAGTATAATATTTGATGAGAATATTTTGCTATGACTGCTTAAATATCAAGGTTAGTGATACAGGCCCTATGGGCCTCTTGTTTAACCCTATTATTATTTATATGGAAATTAATCTGTAAAATTTGCTTAAATCATAACAGGAGACTATTTCTTAGAACAGAAAAAATGTACAGCTTTGAAAATCTTCAAATCATAACGAGGACAACATATGATACCCAATGTTAGAATTTTGTTCTGTAGATTTGGTCTATTGTCTGATAGAAATAAAATATCAAATAATAGAATGTTCTCTTATAGATATAAATGCCTAATATTAGATGTTTTCCTACTTCATATTTGAATGTTTTTCAATAGAAATAGATACCTGATATAAAAATGTTGACCAATAGAAATAAAAAATTAATGATAAATGTTGTCTTATAGAAATCAAATACCTAATATAAGGATGTTGTCCTATAAAATAGAAATAAAAAACTCAAATTTGTTTTATTATCTAATACAAATAAAATATTAAATACTATTTGTATGTTGTCCAATTGATATAAAATACCAAATATTAAAAGGAGTTTCAATAGAAATAGTGTCGAATAAACACTAAAAAATATTTTTTATGGTTTGTTGGCTAATTGAAATAAAATACCTAATATCAGTTTGTTATTTATAAGATATCATAAATTGTATTAGAACTTTGGCCTGTTGAATTAAAATACATTATACTAGTTGGTTATTTTATATTAAATGTAAGAACATAGTATTTTATCTCTCTGTGACCAAGTTTAATCAAACTGGAAATTATTACCTGTAACTTTAGTAAGTATTGTAATCAATGGGAAAATATTGCGGGACATAGTTTCAGCAGGGGTCTTTAGCATCTGTTAAATAATTATTTATTAAATTTTACAGCATCACACTGATCATTATCTCCCAGGACGATATTGCTGATGACTGTCACATGACTAACTTGCTCAAGTTCATCCACCAATCGCTGGTCCTGTTACTTGGAAAGGAAGAAGTGCAGAACATCGACAAAAATGTAGAAAAATTCAAACGGGAGGTGAAGGTTGGTAGATTTACTGGAATGCGAATAACAATCTGAGTATTATAGTTTGGGCTATCTTATTCTGAAGGCCATTTATCTCTTAAGCTACTGTAAATGTACTTCCTTTAATCGTCCTATTTTAGCGCTATTCACACTTCAGATATAATGCTAAAATATGATTGCATTTTAACTTTCTGTGAATTATTTTCTATCATATTTTGTGGGTGCCCCAACTCACCAATGGGCTAATATGTTAAAATTCTGTGATGCGCGAAAGTAAAAAGGCTTACAGGATTGACTGACAGGGCTTTATGTCCTTCTGACGTTTATTGCCGAACCTAGGACAAAACTTACAGCATTTTATTAGGTCACCTGAGCTTTAGCTCAAGTGACCTATTGCTATCCGTTTTCGTCCGTCGTCGTCCGTCGTCCGTCGTCCGTCGTCCGTCGTCCGTCGTCCGTCGTCCGTTAACATTTTACGTTTCAAACTTAAAGTCAAGTTCTGCTGGGCCGATTGAACTAAAAGTTGGTAGGAATGATCGCCTCATGGTCCTGACAAAGTGTTGTTATTTTTCGGGTCAATCAGAAATACAATTTGGCTGCCATGGCCGCTATTTTGCTACTAAGTTCTAATAGGCCGATCTCACTTAAAATTGGTATAGGAATGATCAGCTCATGGTCCTGACAAAGTTAAGTTAACATTATACTATTTTTTACTCAAATTGGTACATATTTCAACAACAAAAATAAATACTGTAGACTCAGGTGACCGATAAGGCCCATGGGCCTCTTGTCTATAAATATATCTAGTTTCTAGAGCTATCCAATTTCTTAAGCTATCTTATTTCTAAGACTCCCTTATTTCCAAAGCTATTTCATTTCTAAGACTAGCTTATTTCTAAAGCTATATTATTTCTAATACTCCTTTATTTCTAAAGGTATCCAATTTCTTACTAACTTACTGCCTATTACACCCGGTGGCATTTAGGGCAGCAACGAAGTTCCTCCACACCTGTCGATCCTTTGCTAATCACTTGATAGTTCCCCAGCTGTGATCCATGTCACTGAGCTCTATTTCCACCGTGCATCGCCATGTGATTTTGGGGCGACCTCTCTTCTGTTTACCTTCAGGAGTCCAGTGTACTGCAACCTTTGTGATGGAGTCACCTTCCTTCCTTAACACATGTCCAATCCACCTCCAGCGTCTCTTCCTGATTATGTCTCTCATACTATCCTTGTTGCACTGTCTCATCAGTTCATCTTTGCAGATTACCCTTGGCCAGAAAATCTTCAGTATTTTTCTCAGTCTGGTTGTGTGAAATGTTGACAATTTCAACAAGTCTTCCTCTGTCATCCGCCAACATTCCGAACCATATACAAGTGTTGATAGCATGCAGCTCTGGTATATACGCAGCTTGGTTCTGGTGCTGTACTGTGCTGATTTCCACACTTCTCTGAGGCCTTGTTGAATCTGTTAGTGATGTCCTTGCTAGCTCCTCCATCCTTGCTGATTGTGCTTCCTAGGTAGGTGAATGTATCTTTGCTCGTGAGGTCGGTATTCCCTATACGTACTGGTGATGGTGCTTGCACATTGAGGGTTATTACTTCAGTCTTCCTTTGGTTGATCTTGAGTCCAACTTGTTGACTGAAGTTGATGAGACAGGTTGTCTTCTCCTGGATGTGTTGGTATAAATGAGACATCAGAGCAATGTCATCTGCGAAATCCAGATCCTTTAGCGCTGAGAAGGGTGTCCAACGTCTTCCATTGTCCTCCTCATGACCCAGTCTATGACAATGTTAAACAGGATAGAGGACATGGCACACCATTGCCGCACTCCAGTCTTGACTTTGAATCTGAGGTTGCTGTTTCCAACTCTACATGTGAAGGGTATAAAAACGTCTGATGACATTAACCATCTTAAGTGGTACCCTGTGCGTACACATGATTCCCCAGAGGCTGTCTCGATGAATACTGTGGAAGGCTTTCTCATAATCATTGAAGTTTATGTAGAGTTGTCGTTGACGTTCTTAACACTGCTTGATGATGTTTCTGAGTGCAAAAATTTGGTCAGTACATCCTCTTCCCTTTCTAAATCCAGCATGTTCCTTCCTCAGCAGCGTGTCTATTCCATCTGTTATCCGCCTTACAATGATTTTACACAAAACTTGCTGGGTATCTTCTTTTTAGTTCCCTGTCTCCCTATGGAGAATGGGGCCATGAACAAGTCCTCTCCATTTTGTCCTGTCTCGTGCATCTCTGGTTGCCTCTGCCCATGAGTTAAACATAGTTGTTGTCTTTCTTTTTTGACAGTTCTCCTTCATGTTTCCTTTGGTCTTCCTCTTTTCCTCTTTCCCTAAGGGTCCCAGTCAAGTGCGATCCTGACATTCCTGTTGTTTTCCATTCTCAGGACATGCACTTTCCACTGCCATCGTCTTTTCTTTACAATTGTGCTGATCTTTTCAAGTCCCGCTCTTTGTCTTGCTTCAATATTCGTAATCTTTTCCGGCCAATATTCTCTAAGGATGTTTCTGATGCATTTGTGAAGGAAGGTGTCCAAGATTTTTTCGCCACCTTTCGTCATCTTCCAGGTTTCACTCCCACATAGTAGTACTGATTGTACGTTAGATCGAAGAAGTTTCATCTTGGTTTTTCTACCGAATAGACTGCTGTTCCATATCGGTTTTAGGTTATGGTAGGCCATCCTTGCAAGTCCTAGTCGTCTTCGTATGTACTCATTGGTTCCTCCTGTTTGGATACTTGTTGCACCTAGGTATGTGAATTGTTCTACATCTTCTACAGCCGTACCATCTATTTCTATTGTTTGTTTGTTCTCATTACTTTCGTTTTTGTAGCAGTTATCTTCAGACCAGTTGATTTTGCATTTGTGTTCAACAGAGTGCTCTTTCTCTGTATATGTTTTTTTGAGCTCGATAGAAGGGCTATGTCGTCCGTGTAATCTAGGTCTTCTTGCTTAGATGTGAAGTTCCATCTTATGCCGGTGTTGTTACTGGAAATTGTTTTTCTCGTAATCCAGTCAATTACTAAGAGGAACAGAAAGCCAGACATATAGCATCCTTGTTTCACTCTGGACTTGATGGTAAACCATTCTGATGTTCCTGCTCCATCCACTACTGCACATTCACTGTTGGTATACATGCATTTGACCATACAAATGATCTTTTCTGGGATTCAATACTATCATAATCTTTCAAAGTGTGTCTCTATGGACGCTGTCAAATGCCTTTTCGAAATCGACGAACAAAATGTAAAGGTCGGAATTCCACTCAGCACACTGCTCTAGGGTGTTACGTAGGATGAAGATCTGTTCCGTTGTTCCTTTTCCTGCTCTAAACCCTACTTGTTCGTCTCGCAGGTGCCTGTCTACTTCCTTTGTGATTCCTTAGTTGACGATTTTCCCCATTATCTTTGTTGTGTTTGGTATCGATGCCTCTCCAGTTTCCACAGCAGGTAAGGTTACCTTTCTTTGCCAACTTGATGATTAGCCCTTGTCTCCTATCATTTGGTACTTTCTCTGCATTCCATACCAGGTCTGTTAGCTTTGATATCTGGTCTGTGGCAGTTTCTACCTGCCTTAAGAAGTTCTACTGACATGTTATCTATACCAGGTGCTTTCCCATTCTCCATACTTTTTAAGGCCTGTCTAATTTTCCTCTTTCGATGGTGGTGTTACGTCGATGTCTTACACTTCTATTTCACTCATGTCAATATCTGCTGGTTCTGTTGGTTCTGGCCTATTTACCACTTCACAAAAGTGCGCTTTCCATCTTTTCCTCACTTCATTTTCCTTTGTTAGTAGCTTTCCGTTCTTATCTTTAACACTGTTCGTTTGTTTGGTCTCTCATTGCTTAGGAGCTTTGTGATGTCATATGCTACTTTCATGTTGCCGTCGTTTGCTAATGTTTCTGCTTCATTTGCCAGTCCGTCTAGCCATTGTCTTTTATCTCTCCTCATACTTCTTTTTACATTTTTGTCGGTGATCCTATATTGTTCTCTTAACCTTTCCTTCACTCTTTTTGATCTTGTCCCATCAATTTTCTCTTTCAGTGTTCTTCGCTTTTCCACTTCTTTTCAGCTGTTACCACTTATCCAATCCTGGTTTCTCTTTTTTTTGGGTGGTCTAAGTTAATGCAGTCTCGTTGTAGATGTCCTTGAAATCTTCCCATTTTTTTTCCAGCTCATCGTTGGTTTCATTATCCAGTACGCTGAATCTGCTCCTTAGTTCCAGTCTGAAGTGTTTATTGATCTCTGGTATTTTGAGTTTGCATGTTTCATATCTGTTGGAAGTTGATGGTTTCTTTCCAATTTTATGAAGCTTAAGGTTGTGGTCACTTCCAACATCTGCTCCCCTCCGTACTCTGATTGTGATGTTTTCTGTTTGGTGATGTCCAGGTCTGAAGGTGAATAATTTTATGTGGAAACATTGTTGTTACTATGGCCAAGTTACTATTTGTGCAAAATGAGGAAAAACGGTCTCCGTTGTCATTTCGTTCACCGTGAAGACCATGTTTTCCAACAATCCCGTTTTCTCCATCTAGTTTAGTTACAACCTTTGCATTTAGATCTCCAGCTTCTATATGTATGTCATGACGAGGTGTTTGTTGGAAAACGCTTTCGAGCTGTTCATAAAATCTGTCTTTTTTCTCTTCATCCGCATCGTTTGTTGAAGCATAAACTTGTATTAATGTGGTCTTAATGTGTCTTAACCAAAACCGTGCTGTGATTATTCTTTCACTTACTGGTGTCCACTCTTCTAGTGTTCTGGCTGCTTCTTTAATCATTGCAATGGCGACATCGCTGATGTGGTGGTCATCTTGTCTCCCAGAGTACAATATAGTTTCTCCTGTACTAGTTTTAGTTTGTCCGGAGCCTGTCCACCTGCATTCACTGATAACTAAAATGTCAAGATGGTATCTGGTGGTCAGGTGGTGCAGTGGATAGCGCACTTGCCTTTCACCAAGTTGGGGTCACATGCCCGAACACGTGGGTTTTCTCTGGGTAC